GTCGCGTCGGGACTGCCGCGGGAAGGGGACAGCCCCAGCTGGGAGCAGAGCCCGTGAGCAGGATGGACACCCGTGTGCCCAGAAGGACAGGACCACGGTCACAGCAGCACCGCTGCGGCTGCAGCCGCCCCGGCAGCGCATCGTGGACACCCACACGCTGGTCTCAAAGCGCAGGGAAAGCTAAAGGCTGCAGCCTCCTCATCAGCTCCTAGTTGTTAGTACAAAAGGCTTTTCTCCTTTATCCGTCAGGATGCACAAAAACGTTAAAAAGCTCTTGGGGAGCGCTCCTGGTGTCAGGCTCGCTGCAAGCCCAGCTGATCGCTCACCTCGGGGTCCCGAGAGCTTTGGGGTCAAAAATAATAGCCTTTGGTCAAAGAAGAAATCAAGGCAGAGAGAAGAGAAACAACTTCCCCGAGGCCACAGGCCTGTAGCAGAGCTGGCCTTTGCTGACTGAGTCCAGCTCCAAAGGCACTACGCTAAATCTCCTCTCCTTTTGCTGATCGGGTGGTGGTGGAGACCCAACGGAAAGCTCTCGAGGTGGCAAACGCCGACCCTGCGATGCAATCCCCTCCCCACCTGCACCTCGCGACCCAGCGCTGTTCCACGCTGCTCATCTGTGGGAACGGAAATAAATCTCTAAGGACAAAGAACTGACCTCCGGGAACCACAGGAGCTGAGTATTAGCGCCTGCCTGGTCACTCTGTCATCCTAAAAGGACAATAGTTGTCACTCAGATTTAAATGTAAGGCTTTATTTTTGTGGGTCAGACCATGAAGAAGCAGCTGCTGGTGCCTGCTGGGTAGTTAACTTGTGATCATCGCCTGCCTGCGCTGGAGAGGAGTCAACCGAGATATTTCCATGAGTCCTCCTCAATTCCCAGGAACATTTCAAAACCACAGATGTTTTTATCAGCGAGGCAAAGCTCATGGGGCAAGACGCTATCTGTTATTTAGACCAACTGGGTACAGTTGCAAAAAACCCAAGTTTTCAGGCACACAAGATCATCTTCATGCTCCTTCTGCAGTACATCTTTTGAAACAGCCTGGCATCCCCTTCGCTCTGGGAGCTGGTACCAGGAACAGGCTGGAAAAGGCCTGTTATGGGTAGCAGATGGAAAAGGAAGAAAGAAAAGTGGGAAAAGCCCCACCTCAGCCAGGCTGAGGTGCACACAGGCTCCCCCGACTCCCCTTCCCCCTGCCAAAGCCCAAAGCGTTTCAGAAGTCACTTGAACACCAAGCAGTAGCTCCCAGTTGAGACCGACGCTTTTGAAGCCCGTGTCCAAACACAGGGAAGTGGATTTCATACCTAGGAAGTGAAGCATTTTCCGGGAATCAGAACATGCCGTTCGCAAATTGTCGTGGCAAAAAGCTGCCACCCCAGGGAGGCAGAGGCAATAAAAAGTTTAGTCATAGAAAATGCAATACAGAAAAATTTGATCCAGAACAATCCCACTTTGGGTTGGGTTAATTCACCCCTGGCTTGACTCAGAAGGGCCGAGCACAGCCAGCATGAGTGAGTGAATGGTTCTGTATTTCGGGCCAAATTTAAGGCAGTGGAGAGGCACTGTGGATTAATTTGGCCCGTGGAGTAACATTAAGCAAAACTCAAGAGAAAATGGTGATTAAGATCACACTGAAACACCATCTTATCCCAGCAGCATCCTGGGACACATCCTTCATACCAAAGGAGCCTCTTCTGGAACAGACTCAACTCACTATCGTAGCTGCAATGTGCAGGACACGCTGCTAATGCCGAGCAACTTCCTAAACTCCGATTTCACGCTCAAGCAACTGATGAAACCACTGGCACAACGCAAAATCCTGCTGCGATCCTTGCAAGACCGTCCCCTTCTCTCTGTCACCATCCCAGAAATAAAGCATTTGCACTGTGCCAGAGCCCCAGGCACCCACTTGCAAAGGGGCCACGCTGCACCAGGCATGGATGGAAAGGTGGAGAAGGGAGAAAACCCCTCAGTCTGCTGCATCTCAGCTCTTAATGAAAGCAGCCTTTGCCTCTGCGCTGAGCGAGCAAGCGAAAACATCCCGAGTCCGCAGCGGGAGGAAGGGAAAGCAGACTGACAGAAACACCGAGGTTGGACAGGAGCTCTGGACATCACCTAGTCCAACTCCCCCGCTCAAGCAGGGTCAGCCAGGTCTTCCCCCTTCAACTATCGGTTGGGAGAAACACACGTTTCCAACAGGACAAAGAGCAAAGTACGGATTAGGCAGCCTGCAGCTCACCCCGCTCCCTCTGAGCGCAGCCTCCAAGACATCTCTGGGACCAGCAGGAATTTGCTCCAGGGCACACGCTGACTTCAGTCTGCAACAACTCAGCTGTGTTCTAGTTAAATTTCTTGACTTTATTTCTTCTAAGGTATGACAGTTTCAAAAATACGTCCAGTTTGATTATTCTTCGTGTGTCAGGGGTCTGCTAGGATTACAGCAGCTGCAGACATCCACCCCTGACGCTGTATCGTGATGTGACTGGTTAATTATTTTAGGGCATGATTCTCTACCGGTGTAAATCAGCCGGTTTGGTCAACTTCAAAAGCAATAGCTTGTCTGTGACTGGTGGAGATGTTAGTAAATAAAAAGTTACCTACAGAACTGTTTATGACAGGACCTTTTAAAAAATATTTGCATAAACACTTTTAAACCTCGAGACACTGTAGATGTTATTTAACCCTTTCAGCACACCAACGCATTAGGCTTCAAAGCCATTTCAATGTTCTACTACAATGTTGTTTAAAGACACGCTTCAGAAGAAAACCTGCTTCAGAAGAAAAGCAAAACTCCCAAATTTTGGGGTTTGCTTTTTCTAATTAAGACTAGACACCTTTGTCTAGTAAATATGCCACACAAATACAAACAAAATGCATTTTGCTCCCTGCAAGAAAAGGAGAGCTTGTCAAATTCTGCATTTCAGTGGTAGGTAACAGCCTTACACACAGCCCTGGCACGGCGTGACCACCACCAAAGCTGCTCAGCTCCTCGGTAGGGATTTCCTGTATCTTCTACAAAATTCCCTGCGGATATCCATTTCCAAAGTACCCATTTCCCTTTCCCAGCACCAGAGCACAGCCAGGTAGGAGCGGCATAAAACAAAGCTTCTTGCTAATAAAACTTTTCCAGCGAGGACTGCCAAACAACCCTAAGGAGAGCTGTCCTTCTTGGGCTTGAATTTATGAAAAGAGAAGCCACGACACATCACAAACAGCTTGAAACCTCAGGTAAATTCTGGCAGCTTGTTCCCCCTTTCTCCCAGAGCAGCGCCGAGGGCACAAGGGCTGCCATAACCAGAGCTGTCAATCTGCCAAGACCCAAACACGCGATACAAAATAAAAGTGAGGAACATGGAAGAAATGAGAAAGCTAAAAATAATACAAACTTCTTAAATATTCAGAAAGTGCTGAGTACTCTGCCCTTTTCTTCTCAAAACTACGGACTGAGCTTTTAAGTGCTCAATACGCACGTACGCTTTCTTGTACCCGCGACGCACCAGAGGGCCACTCTCTTCACACCGTCTTCTCTCCTTCAAAAGAGATAGCAGGGTACATTTACTGTGTTAGGTAACTGATTAGTTAAGAAAACAGAAAGCAGCCTTGGGAGACAGGCCGATGTTTTATGGAATATATAGGACACTGGAAAAATGGTATCACGTAAGCAAGATGACATTTGCTTTCCATAAAGCATTTCTGAGTCTCGGATTTCCAAAGAACACACCCAAGAGTAAACACCATAACGTGAAACTTGCTCTCAGAGCCAGAGTCATTCCTCACCTGTACTTACACAGTCAGAGAGCACAGACAGTAGATTTAAAAATGATTTCTTGATGTAATGCAGATGTCAAAATCCCAGATCCCTTCAAATGTTACTTAGTACTGCATTTTTAGGGAAATTATAGTTTACGTATCTTAATTGAGACTGAAAAAGCTATCCATGCATTTGCACAAGTTTAATATATGTATCCATCTGGGATTGATTTTGATAAAAAGGTTAAATACAATAGCAAGCGAACAAGTCCTTGTATCTTGTACAACAGCATACAACAGAAGACAACATGGATGCTGGCAAAAATCCATTACGATAACAAATCGGCAATTCCCAAGACGGAACATCCAACTTCAGAGATCTGTTAAAATATTCTTGCTGGCTAAAGATACTTGCAATCTGGTTCCATCTGCTTTTCATAAGTTTAGAACATGCTTCAATAACTTAATTTTAGAAAAAGACAGATAAAAAATGTAAATGCAGCCCAAGGCCACAGCATGTCAAACATCCATGACTGCTAAGAGTAAAAATGCTCATTTTAAGATTAACTGCATGTCATTCTGTGATATGATCTACTCATCTCTTTTGTTTTGTTGCACATTTAGAGAGAAAAATATATATTGATGTATCACAAAAACCACCAAGGACTTTCCCCCTCTAATACTACACTTACCCAGCCAAAACCTACCTTTAGTCTCCAGCCTTGGAATACATTTAATATTAGATAAATTATCTCTGAGAGATAACAAATATGTTTGCCAATAATTTCCTTTCCTCTCCAAACATCAAAGAAGCTTAAAATACCATGGAAATGCGTATCATAAATCCCCCACACACTGGAAGTTATCACTCCCTTTCATATACGGCACAACTAAAGCTCAGAAAGCACAAATTCTTTGCATAAACACACAAAATAAAACCATGACAGAAGCAGGGAAAAAAAAGTCAGATATTCTGATTCAAGGTCTTATATCTTGTCTGTAAGCTACAAAATTGCCAGGATGTACTTCAAACTTTATTTCTATTTCCAGTACATTATAATAATTATAAAAGAATCGTCTGCAGTCATAGTATAAAACCAGTGCCATGTATAAGTCATGACTTTATGTACATATCTGTAGAGATACAGAAATGATTTGTTATAATCATCAATGCTTTCAACATTAAATACTTGATCCTGAAATCTTTAATCAGACAAAAGCTCAGTACACAGAAAATTCTGCTTCAGCCAGGATTGATTCTCATTCTTCTGAACCAGATTAGGACTTCACTTCAGTGTTGACTCATTCATTTATTTCACGGTCGACAGCATGTTCACAAGACTGTGACTTGTCTATATATAAATATTGGAACAAACGTTCAAAGGGAAAATATACACCCCACGCCTAGATGTTCTTCTGTTTCTATTACTAAGAGCCTTGACAACATTTGAGTCCAGAGCCTCAACTGCTGTAAACTGGTCCAACTCAGCTGATTTCAGTAGCAATATGTTGATTTAGCTGATGATCTGGATCTCTCTTTTATCAAGTACAGACTGCCAGACACCCTTGAGAACAGTTACCCTACCAACAGATCCTCTCGCTTCCATGATGCCAACAGCCTACTTGAAATTGTCTGGGCAGATACCAAGCGGTTCTTGCACATTACTCTATGTTCTGATTGCCAAAACCAGCCCTCTTCACAAACAGCTCCGAAAGCTGGCTTTGTATTGTAGACTGTATTCTGAAAACCAGTTGGGCAATTCAAAAGCATATGAAAGCAATTATAATTACAGTACTGCTGTGATAATTAAAAATTGCCAGCTGTATATAAGCCTCTTCAAATGTACAGCTGTTACATGGGTAATGGAAAAAATACAAAAGCTTCAGATTCTGTGCCCCATAATTTCTCAGACTGCGACATTACAAACTCAGTTACTACCATCCCTGTTTATGACAAAATGCCAAAACAATAGAGTCCTTTTCCATGCTTTCTTGTAAACAATTGGTTCCCTCACCACCTCCGAGTAATAAAAATTGTAACACATTTTACAACGATGTCCAATACAAGATTAAACTGGTATCAAGTAAAAAAAACAGAAAAATATTAGTTGATTCTCTTCTGCTGAAATTGTTGCCAGCTTTGGCCCCGATGTCCCCTATGCTTGGTCACCTTTGTCTTCGGTTGCCATTGCCGAGTCCCTCTGTTGTTCTTCTGGATCCCCTGGAAGAATACTGGTGACTGTCTGGAGAAGTGACTCAATCTGCTCTTCTGTTAGCCTTTCCTCGCTTTCTTCTACCATCTGCAGGTCAAAAGATAATCTATTGTAATCATTAAATCCATACTTCCTTCCTCAGCTCCAAACAGAAGGACTCAACTAATTGGGAAATACTGTTCTCAATGGATGCAAGACATAGTCTGAGCTCATTACAAAAGCATTTTACAATGCGGAACTCTTACAATATTTAAAAAAAGAAACAAGAGCTCCATTGTTAACCACTACAATTGGCACTCCACAATGAGACCCTGCTTTCTTTACAATGAGGAAAACAACACACTCAGAACAGGCTGTCCTCCCTGGTTTCTCCTAAAGCCTCTCTCAACCTACACATCAGTATCTTGAGCCAGGCTTTTCATTTAGTTCACATGCAGACCTACCTTCCAGACCTATTTTCCTAAGTTCCTGTGCTTTCATGTGAGAACTGAAATGAGATAACCTGAGAGTAATTACCTGAACCTTGGTATCTTATCCAGCACCTAGACTATAAGTAATCAGGCCATAAAAGAAACCACCTAATCCTACAGCAGCTATACTTCATTGGAATTTGCTTAGATTGTGAGATTCCTGAATATAAAGGCATATAAAAGCTCTGAGCAACACAAAACATGCTGTCACGAATCAACAATAAAATTCCGTAAGATTAATTAGGGACCTACTCTCACTATGGTGCTGTGGGAACTCTTATATCACTGCTACCAGTAAAAACAACTGTCCTAATTTATAGGCAGCTGTTAAAAGGAAAAGCTTGTCAGAGTACTGGAAAAGCAAGCCAAAAGAACTCTTCAAACACAAATGAAACCAATTAGGATTGCGGGGTTCGAGATTTTCTTTTTTATACAACGTCCTTTAAAATGTCCTTGGAAGAGCGGTGATTTATATTAATTATGGTTCCAAGTCAACACAGGTTTAATCAGTTCTAGCTAAAAATTGTCAGCTATTCAGATGCATTTTGCCTTCTAAAAAAGCAGAGTGGTATATTCAATTAACTTTTTTTTTCTTCAATGTCCTATGAGCCCTCTTTGCACAATCTGATCATCTTTCATCAGCCATTATCCACAGACCCTTGACAAGAGAAAAGCGAGCATGCTAGAATCCACTCATGTAGCAAAAGGCAGACAGTGAATATCCATTTGCAAATGACTGTTTCTGGGGACCATGCCGATCAAAGGATGAAATTCTCTGTGGAGTGGCTTTCCAAGCATGGTTAGTTCAAAAACTACTGTAGGACCCTGTCTGGAAAAACAGCCCTGGCTCTCATTACCGCCAGCTGCTATACTATACACTATGCGTTAAAACATACTAAAAATCCTCCTAACATTACCCTTCTGTGTAAGCAACTGCTGCAGCTACTGAAGTGGTATCGAGTAATTGCCTGCTAGACTGCATTTCAGAGGTGATCACCTCAGCAGCTTGACTAGCATACCTTGGAGCATCAACATTATACAATAAAGTACGTTACAGCATGTACATACACTCTTTGTTGCCAATACTGCTGACAAAGCCATCACTCTACAGATGACCTATGCTATTAAATTTTGAAAAGGATTATCAGCCTGGCTTTTGGATTGGATTATAGTGTTATTAATTACTGTTACATTGAATTTTAAAGGTGACAGCCCCATAGCAGCAGGAACTGTACAAAGAAAAAGCCCATGTCCTTTGGACAGGCAGTATCACTTAGGGCAGAATGATTTATCTCTTAGTGCCCAATGTCTCCCGCATTCATTACCATCCCACTGCTTTCCGATCTTCAGAAAATGGCACCTTGCCTAGTTTAGATTTGATTTATTGGATCACATGAAGTCCACCCCTCTTCCCCATTTAAATTTTATCCCTCCCTATATATCTCCTTTCCCTTTCTTCTCCAAACACTTTCTCCTTCAGGTGCTTGCTTCAGGTAGCCAGAGCTAAACACAAGGATTTGATCAGAACTTAAACAGATAATAGAGAATGATTTCTAGATCAGCATTGACTCTTCTCAACTTCTGTATTTAAGGCAGAGTATACTTAAGCCAGTGCCTAATCACTGCTTCTTACATGCTCCCCAGTGCGGAAAGAGTAACTGCCCCAACAATCACGTTGATGCCGTTTGTACTGGCAAGCACGGAAGCCTGCAAGACTGACAAACTGCAGATCCGACTTGGGACACTGACAGATGATCTCTGGTGGTTGCTCTGGTAGTTTAAGAAATCACACTTTACCAGAATGTTGATGAAAGAAAATAGTCTCTCATGTTTCAGATGCTTTGGTGCTCTAACTGATGTCTCATTAAACTGTTGAGAAAAGCATCTTTAAAGAAAAGTGCCAGGTACCGCACTGAGGAGTGGGTAATGTAGCTCCAAATTCCCTTTGGTTGACAGATCTGTAGTCTCTGCCAGAAGGAAGTGGTAATTCCTTAAAATACTGCAGCAAATCCATCAAGGGCTCACCTCTTGGTGCCTCTGAGCCATGCATCCTCACTGCCAGCTCTCACATCAGGAACTACCAACAGACAAAAATCTGCCTTTGGCAGGATGGACAGCTTATTATTCAAGTTGATGCTTCAGCGCTATTTTGCTGTGATACTATTCCAGAGTTCAAAGGATCAAAAGCATAAACTATAAAAATCAATTTTTTTCACTCTTCAGGGAAACAGCCTGAGCAGCAACTTATGAAAACATAAACAATTAGGAAGCAGCAAAGCAGCATGCCAAAAGGAAAAATTCAAAAATTTTGAGAGAGCATGTAGATAGAGAGACAAATGAAACTGTCCTAAAGGAAAACAGATATCAAGGGAAACAAAAGGTCACTCGGAGGCTTATTCTAGATTCAACAGACGTTCACAGAGTCTTCTGATTTACAACTCTAAGATAAAATACTTTTGCTACTGATAGTACTAGGAAATAATGTAATGATGCTCAGAAGAGAAATTATGTGTAAGAAAAAGCCTACGAGGCAAAAAGAAACAATTGTATTCGAGTACCTACTTTTCCAGCAAGAATTTTACCAATATATGAAAAAATATCTATCAAAAAGCTTTGCTAACCTCTAACTTGCAATTGGCTGAAACTGCTCAAGCAACAGATTCAAACCATAAGCAGTCAGGAATGCAAAGTTTATACTAAGGAAAACAAAAATGCGAATGTTCTTAATAAGCATATGACATAAGATGTTTATGTTGGCAGTGCCACGCACACCAAATGGAAACAGATTATCCTCACAGATGATGCCATGTGCAAAGCGTACGGTATCATCAACCAAAGCTCCGCTGACCTGTGTATTTTCAATATTCAGGGATTTGTGCAATAACAGAATTGGACAATGTTACAGTAACACAATTTATAGGTAAAAAGCACCCCGATGTGCAGCAAGACAAGCATGTCTCCTCCTCAGGGCTGAGAGCAAGGATTTTCTTGAAAGGAACACAAGGGAAAGGCAGTAAGCCATGTCAGCTATGCTGCTTCTTGTAATAAATAATTCCCAAGCCGATACTGCTTTTCAGCATTCAAGTCTATACTATCCCAAAATAACTACAGTGTTTTTGTAGCAAATGTTATAGCATACCAACGTCATTCGTACATATACACAGTATGTATTTTCTATGAAATGCAACCATGTGGTCAAGATCAACTCAGTCAAGTCAGGCCTTAATAACAACTTCTACTTCACTCAAACTAGTAACAGTCATTAAACTCTCATTGCAATATATTCATACAGTAAGCAATTTTCACATTTCATTTCCCCCCTCAGCTAATGCTCTAAACAATATAATCTACAAGACAACCAAAGAAGGAATCAAGGAAGGAAGCAGGAAAACTTTATTTGGTAACTTAATTGGCATAAAATTCTTACAGCTAAAAAAAAGGAGGCATGTTCCTCCTGCAGCTAATACACACTTTTCAAGCCTGAGTACCTAAATTTGCTTCTTACTTTATTGATTGATTTACTTTATTGCTACAACCAGCCAGATCTTCAGAACTGTAGAATACATACAAAATATTCAGAAGGAAGCCGAAGCCACAGTACTGCTCACCTTTGAGAGCAATGCTACCTTTATTTAGAAGTCTAATAACTAATTTTTCACCTCTTACGCACCTTGTACCTACAACTGTTAAGCCACAGTTTATGTATTGATTTAATTTCAAGTACTCAAGAGGTCTGACTAACTTAACTGGACTTGAAGCTTAAACTTAGGCAAACATTTACTAAATGGAGAATACATTAAGAAAAGGATGCCAATTCTGTTCTGCCTCCGCAGATACATCTAGGCATGGGCTTTCTAACACAGCAAAATGAAACATGCATCCAACATCCATCACTGAATCTTGCTACAAGAGAACGAAAAGACAAATCGCTCGCCAACTGCAGAATTAAACACTGGCAGATGCCTTGCTCAGTAACATAACTGCTACTGGGAACCAGAGCTGTGCTTATTAAACAAACGTGTATGTGGATTATTTTACTACCATGCAGCCTTTCCCAGCTGCACATTTTAACAGTAGCTTTTTTTAATTGAGCACTATGTATGAATTTCTCAGAGAACAAAACAACCATAATTACCATATCAGAACATAATAATAGTATTACATTAAGCAGTAAGTCACTTTAAACCTGCTGATAAATTCTCATGACAAAGTCATTTTCAGAAGCTTTTATTTATTGAGAAGGTAAATCAGAAAGTAACAGCTAGCTTGACTATCAAGGTAATTTCAAAGATTAAAGTGTTTATTCATAAATGTGCAAATCTGTATGTTCATAGTGCTATGTACACATGTAAGTACAAAATATGAACACACATATATATATATACACATGCATACTGGTCTAGATTTTTTTTTTTTAACTCAGTGAAACAAGGACAAACATTTTAGGAACATGCTTTCCCTAATTATAACCATACCTTATCTTTTCTGCTTACCCAAGTAAAAGCAAAGTATAAGAGACCTCATCATTCTCACTGTGCTTCTTTTAAGCTTTCAGGGCTAATGTTTATTTCATTCAGCCTCCTGAGACACAACAATACACTGCAAATGTTGAAGAATAAATAAAGCCACACTGAAGAACCCTAAAAAGTTCTGAGAACTGAGAAACTGTCTCAAGGATAAGTAAAATTTGATGGGTAACAAACCTCAGCATCACAGAACAGAACGACCTGTGGGTTAAAAGCTATTGTTTATTTGAATAATAAGCTAAGAATTCTATTTAAAAAATAACCAGGAAACTACTGCAAAAAAGCAAACAGGGGTTCTGAGCACTTCCAAAGCTATCAAGCACATAATTTAACTCCAGTGTAGGAGGTACATATTTTATGAGAAAATGACTGCTACTTCCTCCTTTGAGCAGTAATTTGAAATTGTTCAGCACCAACATGCTAACAGAAAAAAAGCACATAAAAAAGAAATAAAATAAAAGACTGAATGATTGGATTAATGTCCCTCAGAGATAATTAACCAAGTATGCAAAGTGGGAAAATAAAATGTTTAAATCCTCTAACATCTTCCATTTTCCAGAAGAATATTTCACATTGTTATTTTCTATTCAACAATGAAAGACAATCTGCCAGGGTCGTTATGCAGAACACATATCATAAGGTACAAAGCTCTCTGAGATGGAAATCTAGTTTTAAAAAGCACAGAATTAAAATCTACTTTTCCATTCAGAGAGAAGAATGTGGAGCAATTTGTTCATTAGAAAAGATGATGCTTAGTCTTCAAACCCATCATGGTTCAGCATTAAGTAAAGCTGGACCACTGTCATGGTTAGATCAACATCACCATCTTTTTTTTTTTTCCTCCTTTGTGGATCACTGAGCCAGGAACAACATATGTTAAAGATTAAAACAGGAGGTCAAGATAGCTGCAATGTGTACAGTGCTTTACCCTGTGGGATATGAATTAGAATTTCATGCTCCTTTTGTTGCTATTGTTGTTTGAAAATAAATCCTGGCACACAGTCCAGAAAAGACAAATATGAACAATTACAGCAATTTATGCATAAAGACTTACAAAAAAACTTGAGATCAAAAGATCACAACATAAATTTGCTTTTTAGCTTAAATATGATTTTATCAGAATTGATTTGTTGTTTGCATACAACTAAAGACAGGGAATTTTATGGAAGGAAAGTAAAAATCCAAAAAGCTGGAAAGGCAAAAAAGCAACAAGCAGTAGTAAATATAACCATCCTCTCACATCAGCTATTAAAAGCCTATCAGATAAATTTGACTCCATTCCATGGACAGGCAGCACTGAGTAAAAGTTTGAGACCAAAACCATTTGAGCAAGTGAGAGACAATTGATTTGCCTACATTATAGGAAGTAGTCAGAAGTTTTCATCATCATTTATTTCTGACTCATTTCCAGGAACAACTCAAAAGCTTTTGAGTGGCAGGGGCAAGTTCAATGAAAAGAGAATCAAGGCAATTTCAGACCTAGTATTTACTTCTCTGTAGGTTGTCTCTCATCCATTGACTACAGTGAATTGACTTGCCTGCATGAAATCTCTGTATGGGTAATCTCCCTACTGACATCAAAGAAGAAAATGCTGGTAGCCTCCACTGCTCTGCATTATTTTATACTCAAAGATGCTCAGAGAAGACAGAGGTTTTGTGTGTTTGAGGATGCTGCACTGCTACAATCTCCTTCCCCTGTCCTCACTTAAAACCAAAATGATTCAAGACAGCAATCAAACAGCAAAATCATTTCCCTGCTATGGCTCCTAGTCTCTGTATTTCACTAAGAAAAATGGCCTGCAGTTTCCTAGCAGTTATTGAGCTCAAAAGACTTTGATGTGCTTTGATGAAAGAGTAAATGTACTGCAATTTTGGGGAGGCTTAATTTAACACACTCTTAACAATCCAGTTAACTTAGATTACTGTAATACTAGTTTTGGAGAAACATGCCCTGGGAATTACAGGAGTATTGCAATGGAACAGAAGTAATTGCATCCCCAATACTTCCCTGACGATACAACTTCAGGCTAGTTCCCAAATGTATAAATATTACATTTTTAACATGTTGCTTTTGATCATTAGAGAAGGGTTACATATCAATAATGGACAGACACTGAACTCAAATCTCCTATCTGAAAGTTTTAGCAATGAGTTTTATCTAACTTTAGATTATTCCAAGGTTTGTGATGTCAAAGTGGAACACTCTACAGAAGCCTGACTTATAATATAAAGACCAAAGTTTCTTATACTTGCCTCCTGGACTTCAAAACATGACACAGGAGCAAAACTACTTTCAATATTTTATGGATAGGTAAGATAATGAGGAACTAGGTAGGCTAACGGGGTGGGGGGGGGGAGAAGACAGACAAAACCACACAGTCACCTGAAAGCAGCAAAAGATTATTGCATTTAAAGAAGAAAAGGGAAAAAAAGACTGTATATGGCCTATATGGGAATATAATAAATCTGTGTCTAAGCACATGAAGCTAATAAAGGTATGAGACAGGCTCCACATCATTACTTATGACTAACTTCCTAAGCAAAGGCTCATGAAGCCTTAATGCTCTTGGTTGGGTTGATGATCGACACTGATCTCTTCAATCACAAAACACAGCATTAATTCCTCAGCTAGAAGCATTCTTTTATGAGATGCCTTCAGCATTATAATGTCTACTCCTTGGCTATGAAAGAAAAATAGTCCTACTGGTACCTCTTTAATCCTTCCCTTTTTTGCGGCAAAATATGATCCCATTACTACACAGTTTGGTTTCAGGATAAGATTGTAAACAGATGTTCTTAATGTAAGAGATCCTTATTAAAAGAATATCCTTATTATAAGACTCTCTCTATTACCACAGGTCTTTGTATTCCTAAGGAGAAACTTCAGAGAATATAACCATCTATTTCTATTTAGCAACAATGCCTCTTTACATCAGAATTATGCTTAACATATTGACAACGGCCACTTTCCATCAGAAAGTCTGTTTATATCCATTTCTCATCCTGCACCACTGGTCAAAATTCCAGATCAGTCATTACTCATTCGTTTTTAGTGTGTTTGATTTTACTATAACATAAAACCCTGCCATCAAAACAATCACATCATCACGGCTGTCAAAAAGTAAAGTACTTGATTACAGAGCCGCAGCAAAAAGACTCAGGTTAAATATATTCTTAGTTGCAATACTGTAACTAACCTTTAATGACTGCATTGGGCATTTTCACTATGTGACACTGAAGCAAACAGAAGTGGAGAGTCTGTCTGAGAGAAAGATGGGCAAGTCTCTAAGGAGCTCTCAGAGAGGAAGCAGAGTGGATTCGAAACCATGAATGTAAAGATGTGCATAAAAGGATACATTCAATCACTGACCATGAGAAAGTAATTATTCAATTGATCTTCAAGGTTAAAGCTGCTTTCATTTAAGCTTTGAACAGTCAGGAGCATTGTTACTTACCAGCTGTATTTCAACTGCTGTCACAGGCCTGTGGTTAAGCAACTGGAGCTTTTCTGCCCTGTTTAAAAGCACAGCGTAAAACAATCTGCATTACTGTATAATTTGAGGATCTCCTCAAATGACTGGTAAGATGTAAATACATTCCTGATAATTTAGGGATGAAACGCCACTGCCAAGAATAATTCTGACTGGGTTTGCATGTGGTTTAATTGCCATGATAATTTGGATATTTTAAATACAGTACTTTCTTGTGTGTTTAAACATAGTGCTGTTGCCACCTCTGGTCTAAGGTGGCAAGACAAAGACCCTTAGATCATTACTGTACAAGCATTAACAAGCACTGTTGCTTTGTTAAAAGCTGTACAGAAACGCTAAACAACTCGTCAAAGATCACAGACTCTTTTGCTATGAACACACAACCACAAGAACAATTATCATACCTAAGAAGTTACAATCCATCAGCCAAATGGCAATAACTTGTTTATTCTCTTAGCCCATTGCAAATGCAAAGTTAAAAAAAAAAAATCAGCTTGAAACCACTTGTCACATATACTCTCTACAACCCACACGGTTTAAGCCAATGCATTTTTTCACACTTTATTACAGCAGGCTGAGGCTGTATTTTACACATGTATATTTGGGCAAAAATATATCTTCATCTGTTCCCATGCAAATCTACCTTTCCGTTGTGTTTCTACAACCATGGGGCACCATGCAGCAAACCAGGTGGGGGACTGAGCTGGACTGTGAAGATAACCAACCTCTTTTCCCTGGGTTGTTTTTGACTTGGTTCACTGCACAGCCCCACAAAGACTGGCATGACCACCAGCAGCAAGGCAGCAAAGACACAGAAAATGCAAAAAAAACCCCACCACCCTCAGTCAGTGCCTGAGTTGTAAAAGTTGGGTCACTTATTGTGGTTTAAAAGACAAGATAATTCATTAATTAACAAAAATTCAAATACTGTTCATGCTCTAAAGCAGACAAAAAGCAATTCTATGCATTTAGATTTGCAGTCCTATGCCTTTAGCACAAAAGCACTTCAATCAATATTAACTTCTTTTGGTTTGACTTCAGATATGAACTGAGTTGCATCTGTATTTTTAATAGTTCAAATTCCATTCTCCTCTGCCTACAAGGAGGAGAAGTCAGTAAAACTTGTCTGACTCTGGTACTTGAAACACAAAACAGTTTAATATTCAGAGGGACTGGTTTAGCACCACTGAAGCCAGTATGAAAATTCCTGATACATTCAGAACCATCATCAAGCTCACCCAGCCTCACTGTTTTTCTGGATTCATTTTAACCATACAGCTATTAGTTCTACTTTCTCATCAAGAAATCACGAGATCTCACAAATGTCCATTTAAACATGTTGATCATTAAAACAGAAAAAAAAGGGGTATGAGGGAAAAAAATTCATTGACATTTAAAAAGCTTTTTTTTTTTTTGGAAGATGTGATCAAACAAGTAAGTTCATTAAATTCAATTCACAACATTTACGCAATAGCTCTGCAGCCAAAATTTATTAATTTTATACCCTACTTAAATACAAATAATTCTAAAACCAAAGTAAAAAACAGCTGTCATATGCCAGTAATGTGTATTTCATTAATTTCAGAAGCTCAAAACATTAACATTGACCACATAATAGCAGCATGGCTAATGATCTGAGCCGATCTTTGTGTTTTAGAACAGAAAAGCGCAATAATACAACACTCCTAAAGATAAACCAGATGTTTAAAAGGGCATATGAAACAGTAACAAATGCACTTTTATAATAAAAACATACCATTAAAGTATAATAATAATAGATACAATGAGTAAAGGAACTTGAACGTACATTTTGGGGGGTGGGGGAATCTTGAATGATTATTACACTTGGCAGTGCTAGGTTAACGGTTGGACTCAATCTTAAAGGTCTTTCCCAACCCAAACAATTCTATGATTCTATGCTTACTTGACATACAGCCTCTCCTAGCAGCCATCTATGTTTACGCAGCACATCTTTATCGCACACATTCATGCATTAAAGTGAGAAGTGACAGTTAACATGCATGATCTTCCAGTCTGCGATATAGCAGTGAACTACGATTTTGAAGAACTAAAGCGTGGAATTTATTATTATTTAAAGTGCATCTTTAATGCATATTTAAGCTGATTCTGAAGAGTTTTTCGCTGTTTTATTGGACCTGTGGGTGGTTTAGAAAGGAAACCTTACAGCTTTCAAGAGAACACAGATCTCTCCCACGCAGGCGTTTACAACCAACAGGTCAACGTCTGTGTGTCTGGATATACTTCAGTGATACCATCTCATTTCAAATGGCCTCCAGCACTGGCTGCCCTTGAAATCTAATGCCAGCTAACAGTTTATAACATTGTCAGGCACTTCAATACTTCATCATTCGTGTATGTGCACCGGTACATGTTCGAAGACCAAGGTGCTTACACTTCTCAGGAGAAGCCTTTGACAAGCAATGAACTGCTCTGGTGTGTACGTGCACACGTGTATATGTGTCAAGAGACTGAATTTAATACCTAAGGCAGCAGGCAGCTGACACCCAAACAGAATAAGACCCTTTATTTATCCACTGAACATGCCAAATGAGCGGCACTAGCATAAAATTTTCCTGGCTGATGACTCCTGAAGGAAAAATCCTGTATTACCACAGATTGGATGATCTAACAGACCCTCTTCAGCTAAAAGGTCCATGATTGCAAGTGACTTAGTGATGGGAATAGGACTATGGGAGACTGTGGCTCAGTAAAGACAACAGCTTTGCTGATACCAAACATAAAGTTTCATTATACCAGGGGGTTTACTGATGTGTATTCACAGTCCTAAAGAACTGAAAACAGTTTCAAAGAAATTACACACTGTTATTTTTAGACCCAGCCTGCTGGTGACAAAACCAAAATCCTAAAAAATAAAAGTTTTTAATTGTTCCACCTAGTCCCTGAGCCATTCTGCCGTCCTTTTTTTAAAATGCTGGAAAATAATTCTAACCATGACTTTCAACTTCAAAAGAAAAGCTTGCAATTTTAAAATGCAGCATTCGTGAAATATTAACAATTCACAACAGAAAGCTCCAAGAAATCCTCCTATATATTCATTTACCATTAAAAATTCAACATCTTGAATTTACATTTACTTTACAAATGTACCTATTTTTTTCCTCTCTAAGTTTCAAAATTGGAAAAGGGGATAAGGAATTAGGACTTTATAAAGGAGAAAAAAAAAAGAAAACTCCTTTTTACTCAACCACAGAACTGTTCAAAATGTCTGTTTAAAAAATGAGCTCTAACATTTTGGGTACCACCCTATCCTTTTAAACTTCTTTTCTAGTTCTACAGAACCACATCAGAAGATTTTTTTCAGTCTTCAGAAAAAGCTTGCAATAAAGTGACATTTGGCATTTGGATAAATGCCAACAAGTGTGGCAGATTTCACATCAGTTTCAGATTTCACAGCTAAAAGATTATTTTTGCTTAAGAACAGGAAGATATTTCTACCTGCACATCAGCATTTGCCCTTCCAAGCAGGGCCATCAACCTACTCCTTAAAAAAAAAAAAAAAGGTGCCTAAATAAGTTCCTAAAGCAAGTATTTTATCAGTGGTTTCAAAGTGTTTTTTAAGAAACACCAATTATCAAATTAGTTCCTTGAGCTTGCCCACACTTATTTGTGTGTCTTGTATAAAGTAGTAAGGACCACTATTCCCATTTTACAGACAGTAAGACTGAAGGGGAATGATCAAGCAGTGACTGTGCTTTAAAGGCATTGGGTTTTGGAGGTGTAAGAATGGGGAAGAGATGTGGTCTCCGAGGAGAAAAGGAAAGGCCCTTGAGACAGTACACTGCAGCAGACGTTGCTGTATTCTCTGAAGGCTCCACTGAATAATGCTGAAAAGGATCGTGTGGTCATACCCCTGGCCAGACCTCCTCCTTCCTCTTGGAGATGCCCTGAAACGCATCTGTCCTTGCATTCATGTAGTGTAAGGCACATCCAGGCTGCAAAAATACAGGAGGATGCTGGGGAGAAGGTCCTTTGTGTCAATTACGGTACAAATCAGTATTTAAAGGCAATTCCCACTGTAGTGACTACATTCCCTCTTCCCTCCTGCAGAGTAACTGTTTACATTTCCCCCCCCTCTCCTGTTAACAACCCCTTGGCAGCACAGGGTTTGGTCTTAAATTCTGAATACTGTGATTTTACAGACAACACAAAGGAATCAGAAATAGCTTGGTTAGCCAGATTTATTAGATTGCTTTGGTTTTGGAGACTCAAGGATGAAAGCCAAGTATGTTTCCATTGGTGGGAAGTGGTGAATACACATCCTTTGTTTTCCCATGCTAATCACTTATATCTATTTGGCAGCTGTAAAAGCATGGCTGAATTTAACACTGAACCAAGAGCACCACTGTTGGCTGCTTTGTTGTCAAAAAGATAAGGTATTTATAACTGCTGCCATTTACTACTGTCATAAGTAATGAAAGGAGAGAAATAAAACCTTAATATTGACAGGAGGCAAATACTGAAATCCTTTAGAACAAAATTAAAATTGAGAGCAGGTCATTTAAAGAATAAATGAGAGAAGAACCTCACCTTTGCATTTTTTGCCATAACAGCAAAAGTCCTAACAGAGCAGGGTGAAGAATATTAAATAACATCTTCAGTGTACAAAAATCTGGCCAATTCATCTGAATGAATATATGACAGATTTAGTGCTTTTTCCTCAAGAGCTAGGAAACTGCCTGGTTCAGTGCCTGGAGCACTTGACGGAGGTGCAGAAGCTGGCACTCTGGTCCTGGCTTTCAATGTTATTTGCTTTATGGTCCCTGGCCAAGCACGTGCCTGTGCCTCAGTTTCCAGACATCTAAAACAGAGAAAACATTTTCAGCTCTCACAGGAGAGCTATGAGGATATCTACTTGTAAAACACTACCCCCTCCTCCCAAAGCCCTACTTAAAAAGAGAGACTTATGTTCACTGTTTAATGAATTCATACTTCATAAAAGTTTCTCACTGCACTGTACACTCACATGCCACTTCCGAGATC